TCTCTGTTTACAAGGCAAACTTCACAAGAAGAAAAGAATGCAGATAAAAATAAAAAAAGTCAAGAAAAATAAAATTAATCTACTCTTCTCAGCTTTTTCTAAACCAGGACACAACTGGTATTATTCACAGGACCTTTTAAGTAGTTTTCTTTTCTCTGCTGTGACTTTTTGTGTTGCAGGCCAGCGGTGGCAGATGATTCTACTCTACCAGGTATGCCCAGTGTCATCACATTTCCACTTAGGTGCCAGCAAGAGTTAGAAAGGATGAATACACTAATTGAGTTAGGTTAGAGAGGAAGTACAGCGTTCAGTCATAGGACTGGAATTATGAGCCGTATATCTGTAAAGAGTTAATGATGCTGTAATTACAGCACCATTCCTGGTGCTGGAAAAACAGCACCAGAAGGAAAAATAGTAGTCTGTGCAGCCATGTGTAGAAACAAGCACCCATGGCTGAAAAAGACAGCAGGGATTTTTGCATTCCCAGTAGGCTGTGTGTTCTGTGAGAAAAACAATCCTTGTCAAATGCACATTTTGGAACAACAGAGGCATTCCATTGCTCTGGTTCTGAAACAAGAAAATTAAAATTAATTGCTTGCTGCAAAAATAAGCTACATGGGCACTAACAGGCTCATTAATAAAAGCTTGTTTTCACAGTCTGCATTCTGTGTGATTTCGTTGCTGCATCAGGACGCAACAGCCTTTTTGACATATGCACGTTCATCCGAACAAAACCCTTACAGCATCTTTTCAAAACCAATCTGCTGTTTCAAATGCAGGGCCCCATCCACTGTCACTCGAAGTCTGAGGGAAGAGTCTCATTTCCTTTAACTGAAACAGGATAAATTTCACAGACTATGCAGCTCTCACTACGCAACGGTAACACTGAATTGATCAAGAGCAGTCCTGAGGAGAAGGACTTGGGGGTACTGGTGGATGAGAAGCTCAACATGACCCGGCAACTTGTGCTTGCAGCCCAGAAAGCCAACCGTATCCTGGGCTGCATCAAGAGAAGCGTGGCCAGCAGGTCGAGGGAAGTGATTCTGGCCCTTTACTCCGCTCTCATGAGACCCCACCTGGAGTACTGTCTCCAGCTCTGGCATAGGCAGGACATGGATGTGTTGGAGCAGATCCAGAGAAGGACCATGAAGATGATCAGAGGGCTGGAGTACCTCTCCTAGGAGGACAGGTTAAGAGAGTTGGGGCTGTTCAGCCTGGAGAAGAGAAGGCTCTGGGGTGACCTTAGAGCAGCCTTCCAGTACCTGAAGGGGCCTACAGGAAGGATGGAGAGAGACTTCTCACAAGGATGTGTAGTCATAGGACAAGGGGGAATGGCTTTAAACTAAAAGAGGGCAGATTCAGATTAGATATTAGGAAGAAATTCTGCACCATGAAGTGGTGAGGCACTGACACAGGTTGCCCAGAGAAGCTGTGGCTGCTTCCTCACTGGCAGTGTTCAAGGCCAGGTTGGATGGAGTTCTGAGCAACCTGGTCTAGTGGAAGATATTCCTGCTCGTGGCAGGGGGGCTGGAACCGGATGATCTTTAAGGTCCCTTCCAACCCAAACCACTCTATGATTCTATGATTGCATGATCTATGATCAGATAAATTATTCTATGATTCTATGATCAGATAAATACCTTTGTTTTTCATACATTTCAGTTGCTGAAGTTAAAATTTTACATAATTGCTCCTCACACCAATACTAGGCAACTTCGTACCTGCAGAAAACTAGGATTTTAGGTGGTACATTAAGTATTATTGTTTGAATTGAAGTGGTGGACTATTGACGTAATACTAGTTGCAAGTGCACAAGGAAGAATCAAAGCCAAGGTCACTGTGAAGACAAGGGGACAAACCATGAGTCCAGTAGCTAGTAAGCTACACTGAATTCCAGCAAAACAGGATTTATTTCTTTCCTTCAGGTTTTTAAGATGGTAGCACTCCACTCCCCTGCTTTAAACATTGATGCTTGCTGTAGCAACACTGGTATTTCTGGCAGATTTTTTTTTTTTTTTTTTTTTGCTGGAGACTTTCAAAAAGCTGGATGCAACCTCCAGTTTCAGAAACTGTCCCCCAGGTCACAGAAAGGTGGTCTGTGCCGCTTCATTCCTGAAAAGCTGTATCTAACTGCAACAAAGAACCTTATCCTTAGCTTCTTTTGCTTCTTATTTATACACACAGAAGATGGAGTTGGTGGAAGAACAATTCCCAAGCCGGAGGTGCTACATCTAGCAAAAGCATGAAGAGGTTTGTCTCACATCGGAAAATCTTTACTCAGAATCATCCTGAGAAGAATCTTCCCATACCCAACACCAGAGCTTTG